TTGTCATATTAAACTTACCGAGCTTACACTGTGCGATCGAATTTAGGATTGCAAAGAAAAAAAGTATTTTGGGCTATATCCGATGAGTTGTCTCGTTCTAAGCGTTGCTTTGGGAAGCAGCGATAAGTAGCGGAGAACTCTGCCCGCCAGGCTACCCGTTCGTGATCACGTTCAGTTCGGCTACGACGGGATATGCATTATCGACGGAGGCGATGATCACAAAATTCTATTCCCGAACTCGCCCAGCTTACACTGTGCGATCGAATTTAGGATTGCAAAGAAAAAAAGTATTTTGGGCTATATCCGATGAGTTGTCTCGTTCTAAGCGTTGCTTTGGGAAGCAGCGATAAGTAGCGGAGAACTCTGCCCGCCAGGCTACCCGTTCGTGATCACGTTCAGTTCGGCTACGACGGGATATGCATTATCGACGGAGGCGATGATCACAAAATTCTATTCCCGAACTCGCCCCTACGATTTAGCGCCATGTTTTTGGTATCGCCTAAAACCGTAGCGTTGTGCATCTCCCCACTTATCTCTGGAGTTATACAAGAGGATGTATATCTTTTTACTTTTTAGGGGCGGCCGTAGCCCAGTGGATAGGGTAGCGGATTCACGACCGAAAGGTTGGAGGTTCGCGCCCAGCTTCCAGCGGCATTCACCAATGGGTTTTCATATGAAAACTTAAGTGAGTATTTATACGGATTTCGCCCAACACTGTTCTGATTCGGTGTATAAACTTTGTGTAGGTCCCCTCACGCTGAGTTGAATAAGGCCCGTCTGGCAAGGTACATCGCCATCTAGTGTCGAACTTCCAACCTTGATTATTAGGACTAGTTACTGGCACATGTCGTCCCCCATTGGGGATACAGCCATAAGGAAAGGAAGGAGGATCTTTTTACTTTGTTCCTCTGTGGTGATGTAGTCATCCTAACTTAACCTTATCTAACACTTGCACTTGACAGTATGAAAAGTGGTTTGTGGTATGAGATGTTCAACGTGTCATACGGATAAGTTTGTGGAAATATTCATAATTAGTACATAAATTGTAACAAAAATGGATATTGAAACTGAAAAAGTTATTGAGTCAGTATTTCCAGATGGTATACCAGGTAAATTAACGTATATTATAATACAAAATTTATTTTCTATTTTTGTAATGTTTATTTTCTCTATACGTTTTTGAATTTATTATAGAATCATGGAAAGAGAACCCAGATTTTTATCAATACTTAATCAAACTTGGCGGCTTCGATATTGACCAATTAAGTGAGTTTATTTATATTAGCAGTTAATGCTAATAAATGGACTGTGATTAGTAAATATGAAAGAATAATTTTAGATAAAGAACCAGATCATCTAACCGATGAAAAGAATTCTGTGCTGCAACAAACACAAGAATTAGCATTTTCGAATTATAAGACTTTTATTAGAACAGCAGAGAGTTCAAGAGAAATTTTTCAACAGGTAATTAGAATGTAGAGTGAAACAAATTATGTTACAGAGGATATTTACCTTTTATTTATTTTTGTTGCCTAGTTTAATGAAACTGAGAAACGTCTAGATGGACTTGCACAAAATTTACCAGTGTTTGTTAGTAAGTGTCAATCATTTTGTGATGCCTCAAAGGATATTAATACTCATCGACGACTAAATAGTTTGACATTAACACGAAATGCTGAGCTTCTTGAGATTCTTGAAATGCCACAACTTATGGAATCTTGTTTAAGAAGTAATCAATATAACGAGGCTTTGGAATTATCCCAATATGCGAGACAACTTGGTACAAAACATGGAGACATTCCCATTATTGCGGTAAGTACAGTTACTTAATTGTAGGTAAAAGGTTTTTCATATTAAAACTATATAAAATTATTTGGTTATCCAGTCTATAGTGTCTGAAATAGAAAATAGTTGGTCAGGTATGGTGGGACAGGTAGTAAGCTCTCTTAGAGGAGACTTGCCACTTCCAAGGTGTCTGCAACTTGTAGGACTATTACGTTCAATGGATGCCTTTACAGAGCCTGAACTTCGAATAAAATTTCTTCAAGCGCGTGATAGTTGGTTTCAAGGTTTACTGAGCACAATTCCAAAAGAAGATCGTAAGTCAATAAAATATTCTGCAGTTTTTTGGATGTACATGAGAGATGTTAGGACACAAAATATCTTTATATTGCAGCTAATCTACATTTAACAAAGACCATTGAACTATCCCGGATACACCTGTTTAATATAATAACACAATTCAAAGCAATGTTCAATGATGATGACCATATAATCACAAGCCGTGATGTAACAATAAATGAATCAGCTATATTTTATCACTGGCTGGAAGAGAAAGTAATTTCTAATTATATTTCTTCAGAGATATCATTATTAAACATTTAATAACATAGTATCCTTGTAGATATCGCAATTCCTCACTACGTTAGAGCATGACTTGCCAGGAGTAACGTCCATTGACTCAATTCTTGGACAATGTACGTATTTTGGTTTATCATTTGGCCGAGTGGGAGCTGATTTTACAGGACGTATGTCTGACATATTTGTTCGAGTGATTGGTGAGAAATTTAAGACTGGAATTATTCGAACTACAAGAAAATTTGAAAAAGATATGGAAACATTTACTTTAATCAACAAAGTTCAACGTACTGATGTCAAAGTTGAAACATCAGCAAAGTCAGCAAGTATCATTTCTTAATAATAAAATGTAATTTAAAATTAAGAATGTATTAATATATTACTGTCTTTAGGAGAACCCACCGGAACAACTTGTTGAATTTTATCCTCTCGCTGAGTATTGTAATGGGTTGATATCTGCATTCAATGAATTAAGAGTTTGTGCACCCGTTGCATTATCAGAAACTTGTATGCGCCTATTAGAAGATTCGTTAAATAGTGTAGCAAAAGCTATGCTACTATTTTACAAACAGGAACAACAAGTACGTTTATTTTCCAATAAAAAATGATTCCTTATTGAATGAATGTCTATACAATTTCAGGCCTTTACCGCTGCTGAAAGAGAAAATATGATCAAATTTGCAGAATGCTTGAGTAAGCAATTAGTTCCCTATGTGCAGTATTCCATACATGCTATTTTTCCTCCAAGTCAAGTATCTGTATATTTGGGTATTTCAGTGGGACAATTACAAAAAGAGGTAAATGTTTTGTAACTCACAAAACAATAAGAAGTCGTGGCGTAACACTGCATTTACCAAAATAGAATATACTACAACACTTTTGTTTTCATTCAGGGTGTTACATATTTGGATCAAAAGTTCATCGTCGAACCTCTGGCTCTCCTGTTACCAATTAGAACTATAGCAAGAGAATCATTTTTGCCTAAGTTTGCTCCAACAGGTAGCTCTAGCACAGATTCATCAAAAGAAATGTCAGCATCTACTGGCATTTTATCAAAAGAGGATACGACACCACAAACAGAAGTGACTATTTCGAAAATGGAAGAGTTAACAATATCACAAACTGAAAGATTGTCTGAGACAATAACCCAGTCGTCCGAAGAATCAGTTGTTGAAAGTGCAGAGATAGAACAGGATAATGAAGTTAAAATAAATGATCCAAGCGACATTTGTTAAAAGTCTTGAAGCTACTAATATCATAAAGCAAAATTAAACCAATAGGTTGTACATTGCTATTCGTAATTAAATAAACTATAGCTTATTACTTATGGGAATTGACTGGATGATGAAATTTAATGACAGTATAACATTGAAACTTTAATATTCATGAAATGCCTTTATTCGAAATACGCATGTGATTAAGTGTTCCAAAAATGTATAATGAAATGAATAAGACGTAAATGTGAAAATTTCTTCATCCATTTTATATTTTGTCAAAAGTTCAGCATCTTTTGTACTGTAAACATTATCGTGTTAACAAATGTTATACAGAATTAACGCAGAATTCAGTTCACAGTGCATAGTCATTAATTAAAAATTGCATTCTAGCGAATATTAATAGAAAACAACATTGCCAAGATGATATACAAATGCTCCTTGAAGAAATGAGTGATCCCGCAAAAAGAACTGAAATAATTTGTTCATATTTGGTAAAAAAAAAAAAATAATAACTACTGCAGGTCTCTTAAACATTTTCAACGTTTCTTTCGGGAAGAATCGAACAACCGTGTACCTTTTAACTGTAAAACACTTTGCATCACTTTACAAACAATATGTGATAGAGATAAATTTGTTTATTCATTAGTTGTGCCACTTTCTTATCAAATTCACTTTATCCATCGATGAGACTTGGATCTAGAAATTCTTCATTAAACTCCATACTTCTATCATCCTCATTCAAGTCCATCACAACAGGGTCTTCAGTAATATCTTTGAGAACTTCATTGCAATCATCAGAAATTTCTCCGATAATTTCTCCGTCGTCTACAGTTAATCTTATGTTATTTTCCTCTTTGTTCTCTTCGTTGCTTTCTTCTATACTATTTTCATTCATCACATTATTTAAGAGGTGTGAAATATTCTGTGTGGAATGCTCACTCGAATATCTTCTTGTTTTTTTAATATCTTGTTTTATCCTCCTTACTTCTTTGAGCAATTCTTCATATTCATCTTCATCTACATCATTGTTAAAATTTTTATTAAATTTGCTCTTTCTTTTTCCTCTTGGTTCAGCAGCGTTAGTTTGATAACTATGTTGAATCTTCCTACCAAGTTCAGCAAGATGACTGTGTAACTTCTTGACCTCTTGTTGTTCAAGTTTTTGCTTCTCATGTAATGTTTTAAGACGTTTTCGTAACTGATAACAATCTTGGCGAGCTTTTGCATATAAATATTGTAGCTTCGCTGTAGATGGAGATCTGTAATGGTCATGAAGTTTGAATTAGTTTGTTGCTACTACTGTTCAAAAATATGTTTATAAATTATTTAATTACTTACTCACGATTCCAGGGCATATCAATAGACTTTGTGCTAACACTTTCCGGTATTATATCTGCTTGTTCAGATATTGATGTAGAATTTGTTTGTTTTATATTTCTTGTTTTAGGTTCAGTAGGTGAACATGTTCCAATGTTGTCAGCGCTGTCACATTTATTGTGCAATACTTCATTATTACCACTTTTAACTTTTATAAATGTGTACTCTGGATTGTGTTCATTCTTTTGTGGTAAATACACTGTTTCGTATGATTCCGAGATTATAGGCGGTGGTGATGAGTCATACTTTTTATTTATAGTTATTCTTAATATTGGCTTTTTAACAGTACCAGTTTTAGATGCGCATGGAGTTGTTGGAGTTGTTTCAATAATGTTATTGGTTTTGGATACATTTACATTATTCAACTTTGGTATAGGTACCTTATTCATTTGTGGCTGAACAATGTTATCAAACATAGTAAAGATGCATGGACTTGGTTTAGGTAAAATCTTTCGTAACTTAGATTGAGTAACTTGTCCTCCAGAAGGAACTTGGACAACTGGCTGAGAAATATTAGTCATTTGATTTATTTGTGCTGGTATCAATATGACAGGACTGGATTGTAACAGTGGCAATCCATTGGTCGCTTTATTATTAATCTGAAACTGCTGCAAAGGTAGTTGAAGTATCTGTTTCGATGCATCCACAATATTCTGTTCATTATTTGATTGTTTAATGCAGGTTGGTCGAATTGGAAATATTGATGGCACTGCAGATGGTTTTAAGAGAGGATATTTACGCACAGGGTGGAATTTAAGATCTCGTGTTTCAAAATGTGCACTGCATATTTGATCATGTTCAGAAGGTTGCCAATTCGCTAGTCCAATTTGTTTCAACCACTTCTTGAGTAGTACTTTGTTGCACAATGGAAACCTAAAAGATATAATTTCTTTAAATAAAAGACAATACTTCTAAATCATTTCCCAAAGTGGTATTACATTAATTTGTTACGTTATTTATAATAATCATACGCAATTTAACATTTAACCTAAAGGATAAATTGTTGACGCATTTACAGAAGTAATAATAAGAAAAACTCACTTGAAGTATCCGATACTCCTTGTTCCAACCTTCCTATAACTTTCACATCCTTGTATACAACAACTTTGCATTTTGCTGTTTTAATATTGCTGGAAAATCAAATTTCAAATTCGGTGCAAAGCTCGAGATCAACAAGCAATACCATTAAACAACCTGACTTAACCTAACCCGATACAAGGAGGCCTAAGAATTTCTAGGGATTTTTGCATTGCACACACTTTTAAAACAATTGAGACTGATTAATACTTTTAACGTGCAGTGCAAAATGTCTAATGTATGACTTCGCATGAAAAAACTTGCGAAATCTCTTCTGAAACAGGTTGTTCAATCAACATGAAAAGAAGGAGAACATTTTCCAGCAAAGAATTTCCCGCAATGAGTGAAGAAACCAGAGAAAATTATGCAATAAAAACGAATGAAGGAAAGAAACATGAACTGTATTTATTTTCATGTGAAATTCTTTCACTGAGAAATATTTACACGTCGAACCAATACCTGCACACTTTAGTTATTATTGGACAATCAAGTATCACCTCTTTAAATGGCATCTCAAAATTGATAAATCTGGAAGAACTGTGGATTGTCGATTGTGGATTAAAAGTAAAAGAGTCGTATGCGTTATTTATGCGAATCACTTTTCGTAATTATCTTCCTTGTCTTCTTACAGGATATTGCTGATCTTGGAAAATGCGTAAAATTAAATAAACTATATCTGTATTCCAATGAAATAGAAGAAATCCCTGATTTAGCGGATTGTTCGATGTTGACGATACTATCATTATCAGGGAATAATATTTCTAACATAAAAGTACATGATAGATATTATGAGACAAATATTTTAATATACATATTGAGTCGTAATGTTTCATTATGTAAATATATTTTTTTTTAGAGGCTCGAAACAATTACACAGGTAGAAGAACTTTGGTTAGGTAATAATAAATTGAAGAAAATGGATATTACCATCTTTTCAAGAAATTCTCAATTAAGATATATTAATCTCGCTGGAAATTTATTGTATGATTTGCAGGTCAGTGTCATAACTTTGAGTATCTGATGCAACATTTTTATTATTATAACCATTATTCTTTTTGTCTCTATTTGCAAGGATATCAAGAACCTTTCTTACTTGCCCAAGTTAGAATCTGTGATATTTACTGATCCTTTATATGGCGAGTGTCCTTTAGTATCTCTTCAAAATTACCCTAAATTTATTATTTATTATTTACCCACTATAAAGAAGGTGGATAATTATACAGTTTTTGAACACGACAGATGTCATATCAATGAATTTTTCAAGTAAATTTTTATGACCTATATTCGTCGCATACTTTTCTATATACAAAAAGTTTATAAAAATTAAAAAATTTGTATGCTAAAATTATTAACTGACACAAGATCATATTGTTAACATATAGAAACAAAATGCTATTTCACGATATACAGTGGCATAAGTATTTAGCACTCTGCTTGAAAGAACAGAAGGAAAAATATAAAGAATATAAACGTGGGATTCGCAAATTTAGAGCAGAATTATATGCATTCACAGTTGGACAATCATTGGTAATCAATAACTGTTAGTAATTTCATTGTTTACTAATATATTTTATGTAAAACGTCGAGATTAGATGTTTCGGAAAAATGATGTACTGTCCAAGAGTCTAACCCAAGAGTCTAATATAAAAGAAAGGTTAAAATTGTCTTATGAACAACTAGAACGATGGAATCAAAATATGTTGACACATTTAGATGTAAGAACGCATTAATAGAAGCTTTATTTGAGAATAAGGTATTTTATTTTACATTAAAATTTTTTTTAAATATACGTATTCTGATTGTCTATCAGATTCGAAAACACCAACTACGCATGAAAATAAGGTACTGTGAAAATTTAGAGTTTACTGAATATACATCTAAGACTCAAAACACGTTGACGAAAATTTGTCAAACTGTTATGGAGGAATCGATATGTCCTGCTGTAAGAAAGTATGATATCCTATATAGTAGTTACAAAAAAATGAATATATAGTGATAAAGGTAATGATGATAATTAAATTACAATATTTGGAATTTCATAGGAATTTAGGAATAACGGGAGTACGATTGCATAGAATTACAAAAGCTTTTAATAATGGGATCGATTTATATCGATATTGGAAAAAAAAGGATGAATACTCAACAGAGGATAAAAATGTTACTTTAAAAATTGTATCTCACCCAGTCGGAGTAAAGAGATTAAATGATTGGCCTTTTGACATTTTTGAATATGAATTTCTAAATACGGTATATTATTATAATTTAAATATTATATCATTTGATGTTATATAAATTAAAAGACATACTTTTTCATATAGGAAGAAGAAGTGTTGATTACAGACTGCCTGGGATTAGCAGATGCAAATTGGCTTTCAAAAATTTCAAATGAACAATACAAAAAGATGGAACGCACGTCAGAAACAGGAAGTACACATCGTATTTGTGTCTTTGTGCTCTCTCCAATCTCTATCCTCGCAGACAAGTAACAATTTTGTGAATCACAATAATTTTAGTATTCGTTAAAAACGATAATTATTATTGTTTCTGAAGGATGAATAACAGTGATAAACATTATGTTGCGCACAATGATTCATCAGGTGACACTTGTTTTGAATATTCTATAAACAATCCAGAAAAGATAAAACCAATACTCGCTGTAGAATATGAATATATATTTCAAGTATGTCTTACACAAATATATATCATTAATAAAGAAGGTTAATTTATAATAAATAAATTTATTAGATGGACGAAGAAGATAGTAATATGATAATTGTTGTTGAGGGATCAGATAAATTAATAAAGCAGCCATCATTGTGGAGTCATCTGACCATAAATAATATATGCCAATGCCTCAATGTAAAACAAGATGAAATTCAGAACTTAGTAACCATAAATCTAATTGGCGGAAATATCTCTACGATGGATATTCCGATAATTTTACCAAATTTAAGAGAACTTAACGTCTCTTATAATCGTTTAACATCATTACCAAACCCACAATTACTTGAATATATTCAAAAGCTAGATATTAGCTTCAATCATATAAAGTTGTTGAACTTCAACCGAAATTTATCAAGGCTGGAGAACTTGGACGCTTCATGGAACAGATTAACCAGTTTACTAACGAGTATAGAAAATTTGCAAAGTTACACGCAAAATTTGAACAACCTAAATTTGAAGAGTAATCCCTTCAACGATATCATGGAATCGGAACGCTTAATATTATTCATACAATTCAGTGGCTTGACAAAACTTCATTCTTTAAATGAAATTTTACTGGAAGACTTTCATGCGCGTCAATATATTTCCTGTACGAAAAATATATTTGATAAAATTGAAAGCAGATTTCAAGGCATTAATGCATACAGTCAAGATGTTATTTGTGAAATCAATCAAGGCCTAACGACACCTTTGACAATATCGAACAAAAACTTTGAACTGGTGAAGTTTTTGGAGTTATCAAACAATCGAATTAACCGATCAGATTTTCTTATCGAATTTATTGCCTTGGAGGAAGCAAACTTTTCCAATAATTTGTTAAGGAATATATTGTTTAAAATTCCTTTAAAGCATTTGGTTAAATTGAACCTAAGATCAAACTTGATTTTATCATCGGAGGGACTGACGCAAAATAATCTCCCGGTTCTAAAGTATCTGGATTTGACTAATAATTTCATAAAAACATTACTACCAATGGGAACATTCAAAAGTTTGAAAATATTTTTTTGTTCGCATAATCGTATCAGTAAATTAAAAGCTATACATAATATCAAGAATTGGATGGAGTTACAACTAATAGACCTCAGTAACAATCCTGTGGAGTCTATTGCTCTGTTCAAAAAATTCCTCGTCTTTTATTTGCCCACTATTCAGGTGAGTGGAGAATTTTATGAATAGATCAGATAAACGATAAATACGGCATATATCGTATGAGCGGATATCGCAAATCACATAATTAATATTAATGATAACCAATTTACAGTACATTTCTGGAGAACCTGTACAAGAATCAGACATTATAAAAGCAAGTAGAACATTTGGCCATCTTCTAGACAGAAATAAACTAATCTCTATGCACAATGAGAACGAATTAACAAATATCAAGCAACTCAGTTTGGTTTGCTGTTCCATCAAAAAGGTGGGCAATTGATTACTTTGTTAATTCTAGAATAATAAAGCAATACAATTTATTTTTAGGTAGATCTTCCAGCAGACATTCTACTGAATTTGGAAAGTCTAGATTTGAGTAAAAATCAAATAAAATCTCTATGGGGTTTACATTTACTACCCAAATTGCAAACTTTATGCATGAGTTACAACCGTGTAGAAGAATTTGGTCAATTACTCAAGACAAAAGAATTCAATTTAGAAAATAATGCATTTCCTTCCCTATGTACATTGCACTTAGATCATAATGGTATGAAATCCTTGGTGGACATGAATTTTCAAAGAATGCATTTACTAAAGTACCTTTTCTTACAACGTAATAATCTTCAGGATATAGATGGTAATATTTTATTTTTATGCTAAAAAGTATCTAATATACCAATAATAGGCCTATTTATTCTAGTGTTTTTAAGTGCTTCGGACCACTGTAGGTGCAAATAAGTCGAAAGCACTGAGAACATTGTTGTATTTTGATCAAATACATTCAATAAACAGAGAAACAACAATATTCTCAGCTCTTTCTGCTCATTTTCGAACACACCTACAGTGCTCTGGATCACTTAAAAATGTTAGAACAAATAGGCCTAATATTGTAATGTATATGTAGCTTTCAACTAAGAATATTAAAATGATATACTGTGATTATATTCCAGGAATTCAACTTTGCAAGACTCTGGAAGTCCTGATAGTCGACTACAATAATATTCGCATGATAACAGAGGAGAATTTTCATTTGCATAATAACATCAGAATGTTATTTCTAGAAAATAACAGAATAAAATATCTTCACTTCGTGAACCGATTACCGAAGATGGCGCAACTATTTATGGCGAATAACAGGATATCGGCAAGTGCGAGTCTTTAATTATGATGCACATTGAGACTGTTACTTAATCTTTTCAGGGCAAAGATGAATTAAAATATCTCGTATGTCTGGAGAATCTAAAAGAGCTTACACTCCTGGGGAATCCATTGTGCAAGAAGGCAAATTATTATAAATTTACCCTGAACATTCTCAACAAACTGAAACATCTCGACGGCCACTCAGTTCTTTTAAAAGATTATTATACAGTTGAATGAAATCTTACGAGTTCCAATTAATAGTAGTAGCTTAGATTGTTCCCGCTAAACGAAGAAAAATTTAATTCTGTTATTACAGATCTCTACGTATTCTGCTAGCTGTGAGATGTATGTATCCCTTTATCCCCAACAGTTGGCGCTATCGACAAATACTATTACAATGTTCCGATTTGTATCCGAATGTTGACATATGATATAGCAACTATACAGTCGCTGTCAAGTATCATTAAGAAATTTTTCCATTAATCTTGTGAGGTCCAAAGTGGCGTTACAAAATATAGTCTAAATAAAATAAAAATTATACGTAAAATAGATAGTATGAGTTCGGGTCATGAAATATCAAGCTAAACTATTGTTAAACAATATATTACAGATAATCTAATGTTGTCCATATATTCATTCATTTAAATAAATGTAATTTATAAAAAGCGTCTTGATACGCTAAATTACAGTGAAGAACAGATAATCTAACTTACAATGTACAGTAAACTATCAATGGTGTTTTTATTTACAGTATTATTTTTTATTGATGCAGACGTTCCATTGGTGTTTCGTGACAGAATTGGTAATTGAAGGTTATCACAATTACTATTTTTTCTTTATTTACAACATTTTTATCATTGGTATAAAGGAACATTGTTCAATTATTGCATTTCCTCTTGGTAAGCAGTTTTTCTGTACGAAGAGATTCATAATTGGAATTAAGTTACATTGTTAATAGAGGAAGATAACGCTAAAACTGAATTTTTATATGATAACGCTAATGATGATCTTATGAATGATACTTGTTTATTTTATGATTTTACATCAGATGGGAACTGTGCTGGATATACGAGTACATTTATGATTGATGATAAAGAATTAAGAAAATTTTCGGGAAAGTTATTTAGGAAAGACTCTCATGAATTATACAAATATGTAACAATAAATTATCAAGGACATACGACATCGAGAAACTCTACGGATGAAGCACCATTAACGTAAGAATATGTTTACCACATGAATATTATAAGGTAAATAAATTCAATTTACCAGTACAATTTATATAAATACAAATTTTAGGTTATTAAATGTTTCTCCAAAGGCACTTGCAAGTCCTATTCCAAAACTTGTGCAAAGGCTATATGATAATTATGAATTAGATACACGTAAAGAAGAAGATGTGACCAAAGAAGAGAACACGGAAGAAGATGCCTTAATTGATGCAATTTTAGCCACTGATGTAATGGCTAGTACTATGGATTTTTTATCAAATAAGGGTTTCTTCAATAAAGATTTTGAAGAATTCAAGAAAACTCTGAAGAATATCTGGTTTAGTGTTTTTTCTAGAGAAAAAGGAAAATATGGAAGTTCAGGATTTGAACATATATTCTTAGCGGAAAAGAAACGTGGTCGAAGCATAGGATTGCATAATTGGATTTTTTTCCACACAGAAGAGTTAGCAAAGAAGTTAAATTATTTTGGATATTTACGTAACTTGGACATTAATGGCGTGAGTAAATATATGCTAATTGCTCCGTAATATAACAAGTCAAAATATTGACTAAGCTGGACAGTTTTTATAAGTTTTATGATTCCAGAAGGCTGCTGTAGCTATGCTTCGCTTTACATATAATGGAAAGATCAAGAGTTCATCCATGTTTATTGGAACTTCCCCAGAATTGGAAATGGCCTTGTATACTCTTTGCTTTTTTGCAAGACCAAACCGGTATTGCAGACTTTCATTGAATGAAAAAAAATTAGGAATTCAAACATATGTATGGAATGATAGAAACAAAGAATTGATTGCAGCTGCGTTTCCTATGATATGATGACAAATTATATTTGTCATCAAAATTCTTCTGAACTTAGTACTGCCGATACGTTTTTTTTTTTATACATATCATGATCATAACATAATGTCATTGTCATCATTATTTAAATTATACAAATATTTATACTTATTATATATACTTAGTAAAAATAACAAATTGAATAGATAAACAAATGTAAAATTATATCTTAATGAAATCTTAATAAAAGTAAATTTTGTACTTTGAGTCTTCTATTGAAATTAGAACATTCAAGATAGGCAATCTACATGTAGTAGATAAACAAAAGGGTGCGCACAAATCAAACGAAATGTGATACTTTAATAATTTATAAAAGGGACTGATAGGGAGAAAAGGGAATTAATTCATCTAACATGAAATGTCCGCACCTCTAATTATCACATGATTACCGCTTTTGATTCCTAATTCCTTGATCATGCGATCAAGGTTTGACAGTGATTAGATATGTTATCGCTCAAGGATTATGAAATGCGTCAACACTTAATTAGCCGAATGATTGAAGCCATAAATTCCAATGGAGTGGAATGATTTTTAACGGAAAAGTCCAGCTGCGAGATAAATTCAAAGAAAGTTCGCTTTCGTATTGATTACCAGGCATCGGATTGGCCAATTCAGATTGTTCACGTGCTTAACAGCTGATCACAAATTATCGCTTTATTGTGAAATTAGTAATGCGATCGTCATAAAGATTGATCGTGACGACAACAATCATTAATAATAGATTACAGTATTACCTCTCTAATGTTTACCCTGCGTAGTTTTTCTCCTCCCCTTAATTTAAGGGGGGGGGGGGGTAGTCCCACCTCCGCTCTTGCCCACAGTCAAATGTAAGCGCGTGGAAATACGTAATTGTGGGGGCGTATGTTCATGCATTTTTGTAACTGCCACAATTGGAATCTTCCCTTATTTGACTATTCTCGGAGTTCCTAACTCCTTGCTACAACTGCTTAGAGAATTTATAGGTATTGTGGTTACTCGATAACGAATAAACAGAACTATGCGACTGCAAGAGCAGAAAAAATACAAAAACGAATCATTCAATAATACTTCACATTTAAAAATGAATATGAACCGGGCCTAAAAAATAATTTTATGCAGTAGTACTACAGAAATCATGATATCAATCAGATAAAATCTCAATTACAATATCGATGTTGAACTTAAGTCGACAAACTCGCAGTACAGTTTTAACACTATTCCTTAATAATAAATATTATACTGAATTACAGTTATACAAAGGTAAACATAGAAGATAAATGATACAACTATAGATCCTTATCTTGTCAAAGAAACACGAGTTCAGTGCATGCAATGCGATAATCGTAATGTGAATTATCTCATTGGCATAAGCCGAGAAAGCCGGATTATAGTTTTACGGTAAAAAGAAGTACTATCTGAATAATATTCTACTGAATGATAAATATGTTTTCCTTCATTACTTCATACACATTAACTGATATTAAGAAACCTCGCATCAAACGCGAGCTTTGATGTATCTTCCTTCGGTAGGGAAGCGTCGTTCATCAAGACTGATCGACGAATCCTATTAGGGCCCGGTCTGACAAAGTTAACAGAGGGTTAACTTTGGTGAGATCAGCCCTGAGGTCGGACATGTAGTTATTAGCTGTGTCGCTAAACTGCTCGCTATGCGCGACATAGATAGAGCTCGATACGTTAGTCCATTTTGAAAATGGCGCTACGTAATATGGACCAGGACGATGAAAGGAAAGAGGAAAGATAGTGTACCGCTACGTATCGTGCGGCATTGCTAACTTAAAGTTCGGTCTCTGATTCATGTGAACTTGACAGCAACGATAACCGCCCTTCGATTGTAATTGCAGCTAATAAACCTCCATCATTCGGCTAGGGATATTTGCAAGTACATGCGAGGAAGGGATGGCAGGCGTGTCACATGCCGACAGAATCGATTACGCGGGCTGAACATTCGGGAAACAGTACCTTCTCGAAGGCACCACCTATAAAAACACTAGCCGGTATACACGTGAGTGTGTGAAGTTCATCGAAGAAACCAGACGGTCGCGGTATCGCTATTCGCAATCTTCAAGCATTCTTTGGGAAGTGTTCAGCGTTCGATTTTATCACAATTCTTAAGGTGGGTGACAGTGTATATTTAAGGTACGTACCTTTAAAGGGATACGATTGATTTCGCGATAACTCACGTACGACCTACAACCTCTGATCCTGTTCAAGACGTTCCCGTTTCACTGTATTCAATGCTATAAACTATAAACTTTAAAATTCGAACACGTGTTTTTAGAAAAGTATGGAATTGTGTAACGGATTTAAATACATTTTTGAGGTTTTTCGAGCACGTAAGATTCTGTGCGAAATTAGATAATCGGTCAACGTTTCGTGAACGTTTTGTCAAAGGTTTCTTCATTATTTATCGCTGCTACGATTGCTTAATAATGTTGTGAGATCTGGCGAACACGCGGGTGGTTCGTGTGACAGCAGAAAGAAAACGTTGAATTCATTTTCGGATTTCATAAACGTCGCTCGGTCATCAGCAACGTACGTAAATGATAATTTAATGCATTCTCAAAAGACAGGATATGATAAGAACTGCTATCAGCTGTGTTTACATCATCGAGAAATATTGAGGCTCTGTGCGACATACCACGCACTCGGTGAAATAATGTTTACTCTGAGATTTAGTCACTAATAAGAACAATTAAATAACTCAAGTGATCAAGGCTAACCTAAGACAACTATAATTAACATGAGTGCGTAAATACGGTTTAGACATTAATTATATATTACAGAATGTATGTATATAGACGTGCATCCGGCTACGTCCAGACACATAGTATATTAGACATAAATAATTCTGTATACCTAAAAGATATTTTTATGTCGTGCTTTTAAATAATTTCCATTAGCGCAATATATTCCTGGTTTTACATATACATATATATATATATTTCTCGTATCTATACTTAGTCCATGAGAATAGGGTGACATATGGAGGGGGGGGGGGGGGATTCT